GGACTCATTAAAATAAACCTTTTAAGTTTTGCTAGGCTAAAACTAACCGTTTTGGTCCTCTCAGAATGAATGTAAATGTGTTCTTAAAAATCTGACATGTTAGCCTATCAAATTTGTTATAAAAATTGTACATTTGTAGACCGGCGAAGTTTTAAACTTGCGGTAAAAAATGTTTATAAATTAAAACTCGATGTTAAAGACTTTGAAAATTATAGTCCTCTTGGTCCGATTATAGTCCTCTTGGTCCGTGAAATATTTGCATACAACTATTGATGTATAAATATATGTACTCTTTTAACTATATATCTATTATCTATTTATAAGTCAACCTAAGTCGTCAGACTAACTGCTAATCTTTGAGAAATCTACATAGAATTTCCTCAAAAAATGCCCATAAGAACTATAAAAATCAGATTAGATAACAAATTCCTTGTTAAACTTATGAACATCAATAAAAATTTCCCAAGTCCCCAAACATAAATAATTAAGAGTGTGTTTAAAGAAATTCAAAGAAATGGTTGTCCTTGAAATTACCTTCATAAAAAGTCCACCTACAAGTCTTTGAAAAATATCCGGAAAAAATTCAAGACTATATCATTAGTCCTTGGAAAATACTTATGGAAGTCCATTGTATTGCCTTCTTGAAAAAAATATTAATAAAATACTAAAGACTATAGTTACGCATGCCAATAATCTTGAAAAAATCCCTTTTAAAAATTTAAATAAAAATCTATACAAAAATTCGAAAAAAAAATCATCAAAAATACCTTGTTAAAAATCAATAAAAAATCTGAACGAAAATTCCCGAAAATCAAAACTCTTCATAAATTGTAAACCGTTTAGTTCTCTTCAAGAAGTTTTTCTACTTCTTCTGATTTGTATTCCTAATTTACTACATCTCATTATTACTCCTTCGTGATAACATCTCCCCCCAGCTGTTTGGAATAAAATTCCAAGAACCACCCACATAAACCCTTTTTTTATTTTGAAAATACATATATATGCACATACCACCCATGGTTTAAAATATTTCCTTATTGATTTTTCAATTATTCTCTATTTGGTTGTTGTTGTTGTCGTTAGTTTTTTTTTTTTTTTTTGTTGTAATAGCAAGATTAACAACATATCGTTGGGTGGGGGGACTTGTATCGAATCACCGCCAATTCAATTTCCAAACCATAAATATTCATTTTTATATATCGATGTCGATGTACATTAATTAGCCCAAAGGGCTTGTTACGCTCATAAAACGCAACGGGGTGTCGAAAATAGTAATTGAAATTGCCACCAGGCATCGGATTGGATCGAACAATGGGAGCCCTATTTTACATGAGACACATGTGTGTGGTTGTGTGTTCGTTTTTGTTTGCTTTACACCTCCCACCAGCAGCGGCAACAATTGCTATCCGCAACAAAAAAGAAATCAATGCCTGAGAAAACAATGAATGAAGTTATTTTGTGTTGTTGCCACAACCTGTGGTGCGGTCGTTGGGTAAAAGCGATGGTTGCAAGTATGAACGAACCACCACTTCAAACAATGAAAGACATCGTTTGTGTGTTTGTTTGATTTTCGATGGAAAAAAAGAACTCTGTTTTGTTTGCTGTCACAATTGATGATGATCTCTTTTATTTTTCATGGGGTTAAACACTTTTATGATTGATGACAGCTTTAGCGCCAGTTAAGCATTCACCATGGGGTTAAAGAGATGGGAGCGAAGCCACTCAATGAGTGAATGGGGAGTGCATACAAGTGCATGTTTTGGAATACATTACACATGTACACTATTGTAAACAATACTTATATACCACACACATTTTATTAGTTCCACACTTCCGATTTTTAAGAAAGTATTTTTTTCTTTTAGAAAATCTAGCTATCAGCTTCTAATTAGGAATAGGATATAAGGTAATTTTTATAGCCTACCCCACATAGTGGTAAGAGTATTATGTCATTGTGCAAACAAATAACATGGATCTTCATAACAAATAAGGATCTTCATAAAATCACTTTCTGAGTCCGTCCATGTATTTTTGTGAACAAAATGCAGGTTGCATTTATTATCGGATTGAGATGAAATTTTCCAAAAAAAATATTTGTTTTTGCCCAAGGACAATCCCTATTGAAATTGATGAGAATCGGTTCAAATTAAGATATAGCTCCCATATATATCTTTATCCGATTTCAGGTTTATTATGCCCCAAATAGCTAACATCAACCCAAATGGACTGAATTTTGGCACTTCCGACCAAATTCAGTCATCATAATATTTGGTGAAAATCGATTCAGATATAGCTATAACTCCCATACAGGGCGAGATAAAAAAACTGCAACAAAGTCAAAAGCCATAAAATGTCGGAAATAGCATCAAATTGTAAAATAAGTTAGGATTTGTTCGAATTGGTCACCTTTGGCACGAATTATGGCCATCAAACGGCCAATTAAACTGTCACAGCCTGTCCGAATTTTGCTCTGCGGTATTTTGACCCATTCCCGACGAAGCGCTTGCTTGAGGCGATCGATACTTTGGTATTTTTTAGTGCTAACCTTGCTTTCCAAAATACTCCAGACACAATAGTCCATCAGATTGGTATCCGGAGATTTTGGGGGCCATTGTGCGCTGGAAATGAAGCGTGGTACCTTATTTTGTTACCATTCTTGGGTGGAGCGTGCCGAATGTGATGGTGCTGAGTACTGTTGGAATATCCAAGGTCTGCGGCCAAAAGCATAATAATAAAAAATAAAAAATTTATAATAATATAATATTTAGCATTTTTATACCCTCCACCTTGAAAGGATGGTATATTAACTTTGTCATTCCGTTTGTAACATCCTTAAATATTCGTCGTAGACCCCAAAAAGTATATATATTCATAATCAACATAAAATTCTAAGTCGATTTAAAGATGTCCGTCTGTCTGTCTGTCCGTCTGTCTACCGTCTGTCTGTCCGTCTGTCTACCGTCTGTCTGTCCGTCTGTCTGTCTGTTGAAATCACGACACAGCCCACATTATTTGACGTAGAGCGCCAAAATTTAGCAGAGAAATTTGTATTCTGTCTAGGATGGTTGGTAGTGAAAATGACATATATCGGTCCACGTTCTGGTATAGTCCCCATATAACGGTACCTCCCGATATTCGGTATTTTGATAATTTATGCCACATTTTTTCACTGATTTGTTTGAAAATTGGTATTTGTAGGTCCTAACGGGTCCCTGTACGTGTGGCAAAACATTGTATGTATAGGTTTACGTTTTGGTATAGCCTCCATATAAAGGTACCTCCCAATATTCGGTATTTTGATTATTTTTTCCACATTTTTTCACGGATTTGTCTAAAAATTGTTGGTTACAATGGATTCCAGCTCCGGTGGCGAAACATTGCATGTATGGGTCCACGATTTGGTATAGCTCCCATATAACGGTACCTCCCGATATTCGGTATTTTTATGGTTTTTGCCACATTTTTTCACTGATTTGTCTAAAAGTTGGTATTTGTGGGTCATAATGGGTCCTAGTTCGTGTGGCGAAACATTGTCTGCATAGGTCCACGTTTTGGTATAGTCCCCATATAACGGTACCTCCCAATATTCGGTATTTTGGTATATTTTGGCACATTTTTTCACGAATTTCTCTGAAAATTGGTAGTTGTAGATCATAATGGGTCCCAGTTCGTGCGGCGAGTCATTTAAATTATTTGTCGACGTTTTGGTATAGCCCCATATAACAGTACCTCCCGATATTCGGTAATTTGATTATTTTTGCCACATTTTTTCACGGATTTGCCTTAAAATTGGTATTTCTAGGTCATAATGGGTTCTAGCTCCTTTGGCGAAACATTGCATGTGTAGGTCCACGATTTGGTATAGCCCCCATATGACGGCACCTCCCGATATTCGGCATTTTAATGGTTTTTGCCACATTTCTTCTAATGTTTCCTTTACCCTTAGGTGGAGGTTATTAAAAGTTTAGCCCGGCCGAACTTGATGTTTTTTACTTGTTTCTGATACCAAGGTCGATTAAGACGAGCGGAGAGCGACCATCGGCTGTTATGGCGACCCACACCAACACCACTTCCTTGACGTCGGGCTACCCTACCAGTATCAGGGTAACGAGAGATGGTACAAGACACAAAAGATTTATTCACATTTAAATGCTGGAGTGGTCTAATGATAGCCACTTGAATTCCAAGGACTAACCCTATTTGAGAATCGGTTAAAATTTAGATATACCTCCCATATATATCTCTATTCGATATCAGGTTTATTAAGCACCGAATGGATCTCCCCAAATGGAATGAATTTTGGCACTTCCGACGGAATTCATCCCATAAGCAAGTACATTAAATTTGGTGAAAATCGGTTCAAATATAGCTATAGCTTCCACATATATGTTTCATCCGATTTGGGATTTTAAGTCCATCACGTGCGCAATATGCACTCCACATCAATGATATTTGATATCGGGCATCAGATACTACTTGAAAATACCTCTGCCAATTTTTATCGAGATCGGTTCAGATTTTTTTTTGTAGCTTCGATATACATCTTCATTCGAGTTTACGGTTATTTCTCACCAATTATGTAGTATCAGCCCAAATTGAATATATTTTTTCATATTCAAACAAATTTTACCATTTGATGAAGCTTGGTCCGGTATTGATCCAATAATTATTTTTAATATAATCAAATTTGTTGAAAATCGATTCAGAGTTGGATATAGTTGCCAAATTGTGGCTACTCTAAAGCTGTAATATGCATTCAAATAAGGTTCATAGTTGGTATGATCTACTTTACATAAATTCCCAATATAAACTTTTTTGTTGCGAGAGCTCAACTAAATACGCATAGTGGTGTAGGGTATCATATAGCCGACTTTTGACCTTTCTTTACTGGTTAATTCCTACAGATATGGGCTAATTTTGATAGACCGCTTTTAAGAGCTCTCACAACATCTCTTATTCAATTTATTAATCACATCTTCTCCACTTCTTTTTTTTTCCAGGTAATCTCCAATCCTGTTCCGACGAAAATGAAGAAATTCATCTTGCAATAAAAAATTCCAAATGTTATACATGTTCCTGTCAGGTAAGTTCGCCATTAGCCACGTAATGCTAAAATACACATCTTCCAATACCATTTGATTTAAACCACATCCAGTCTCCTAGAAAGTACTGCATTGTAGAATCATTGAAAAAATTGCCATAAAACGGAAATGTTATACAAACACACGCACACGTGTCTATGAAACATGACAATATTTATATGTGTTGAACTCAGATACAAAAGTGATTAAAAAAAAAAATGGTAAAGTTGGAAAAAAATAGCAAGGAAGTGCACTAAACGGAATTCAAGAAGCCCAGCTATCAAAGTTAAATCTGTTTTAGAAAAATATATGACCTTACGATAACTTGAATTTAAAGAGCCACAACTACACGAGTTTCATGAGTAAGAAAGTGGAGTAAAGCAGAGGTTTAAAGGGCCTTTGAAACGAAAAAAATTAAAAAAAGGAAGGTGGGAATTTTCGCTTTTATAACATAATTTCCATGTGTCTGAAGGTGGGTTTCTCATTCCACAAAAATCTTCAAAATATCCAAAATAAATTATAAATTACTTATGAAAAAATCAACAAAGGTCCGTAAAAATATTGATAGAGAGGTCACGATAGTCCTTAAAATATAATTATTACCAGCAATTGCCCGCTACTTCGTCAGCGAAAAGTCCACCTTAAAATGTTAGATTCGCTCCAACAGTTCGTGTTAGGTCTTTTTAGTACTCAAAATTCACAATTTGACAATTTTTTTTATCAAAACCTCCTACATCGCACTAAAATTTGAAATTATTAATAGGAAGCAGGTTACCTTATACACCAAAAAATTTGAAAAATCTTTAATTTTGAATTTTACCGAGGAGGACATTAGACCACCATTGCACAATGGACCCCATGCAGTTTTCCTATCTAAAACTATTTCAATATCTCCATATATAAGCCCTTGAAACCAACATTGATCTCAATATACTGAATAGCAACTCTATTCTTTCACCCAATACCAAATTTAGTAACATTTTGTATGCATATAAAAAAAAAAAAAAAATCGGCATATCCCCATCCTAGATACCAACATTGATCCAAAAATAGTACCATTTAGAAGTTTTCAAAAAATTATAATACGGATTTGCAAACCCACGACCAGATCACAACACAATATATCAACAGAGACCTCGATAGGTTTCAGCTCTATTAACTTCACCCAATACCAAATTGAGTACCATTTAGTGATATTCGTACAATTATAGTATAAATTTCCAAAACCACCTCCATATGTCCAGGCTACACATGAACAGCGACCCAAATATCAATACTAATTACAGGGTGTGATAAAAATAATTTTTATAATTTTTTTTTTAATTTTATTGAATGAATGCAAAAAAATTTCCAGAACTTGCATGAATCTTCTATTTTCCCATTTTTTTTTTTTCGATATCATAAAGAGAATATCGCATATCGTGGTAAAAAGTTCCACATTCTTGCAGTTCTAGAACAGATCAATTTATAGAAGACCTAGAGCTTTAAAAAAAAATATTCTCAAAAACTTACGTTTTCTACTCTAACAAGCACGGTGAATAATGTAGCTAAAATCATCAAAATACCGAATATCGGGAGGTACCGTTATATGGGGACTATACAAAGACGTCAACCTGCACAGACAATTTTCTGCCTTGGGCTGTAGTATCCATTACGAACCTCAACTACCAAATTTGAAACAATTCTAGTGAGAAGTATCGCTAAAATCATCAAAATACCGAATATAGCGGGGTATCGTTATATGGGGGCTATACGAAGAAGTGTACCTGCACAGACAATTTTCTGTCATAGGTTGTAGCAGTTGAAACAATTTCGATGAAAAATGTTTCTAAAATCATCAAAATACCAAATATCAGGAGGTACCATTATATGGGTGCTATACGAAGACGTGAACCTGCACAGACAATTTTCTCTCTTAGGCTGTAGTATCCATTACGAACTTCAACTACTAAATTTGAAACAATTCCGGTGAAAAGCATCGCTAAAACCAGTAAAGAAAGTCCTAAAGTCGGGCGGGGCCGACTTTATGATACCCTACACCACTTTGCTAATTTTGTAGAGTTCCACATAACAATTAAAAGATTTTATTGGAGAATTTAATTATGCACGCTATGATTATAATTGTAATTTAAAGTTCAAAGGACTAAATACGCCGAAGCATTTGTATATTTTAAATTCGGACTTGTATTGCCCATTTGGTACAAAATTAGTTTGAAATCAGATGAAGATATATATGGGAGCTATATCCAAATTTGAACCGATCTCGATAAAATTTGGCAAATATATTTCTGAGCTGTATTTGATATATTTCCCTGAATATCGTTGTTACGGAGTGCATATTACGGCTGTGGGTAACAAATACAACAAATCGGATGAACAATATATATGGGAGCTATAGCTATATCTGAACCGATCTTCACCAAATTTGGCATACTAGCTCCTAGACTCAATTCGGTCGTATTTGCCAAATTCCATATTAGACGTTTGGTGCACAATAAAAGGTAAATCGGACGAAGTTATATATGGGAGCTATATCCAAATCTGAACCGATCTCGATAAAATTTAGCAAAGGTATTTCTGAGCTGCATTTGATAAATTTCCCCAAATATTGTTGTTACAGAGTGCATATTACGGCTGCGGAGGACAAAAATAACAAATCGGATGAACAATATATATGGGAGCTATAGCTATATCTGAACCGATTTTGATTAAATTTGGCATACTTATTTTCAGGCCTAATTTGGTTCTATGTGCAAAATTCCATACTATTCGGACTGATATTGCACTTTTGGTGCACAATGGAAGGCAAATCGGACGAATATATATAAATGGGAGCTATATCTAATTTTTGACCGATTATCTGCAATTTCAATAGGATTCGTCCTTGGGCCAAACAAATGTTGTTTGGAAAATTTCATCTTAATCGGATAATAAATGCGACCTGCATTTTGTTCACAATAATACATGGACAGACGGACGGACGGACGGACAGACGGACTGATATGCATAAATCAACTCAGAAAGTGATTCTATGAGATCCTCAAAAGTAACTATTGGTCTATCTCGCTTCCTTTTCCATGTTACAAACAAATGCACAAAGACATAATACCCTGACCACTATGTGGTGTAGGGTATAATCATCAAAATACCGAATATCGGGGGTATCGTTGTTGGGGGCTGCACACTCAATTTTCTGTCATAGACTGTAGTATTCATTTCTAACTTCAAATACGAATTTGGAAACAATTTCGGTGAATATTGTCGCAAAAATCATCAAAATACCGTATATGGGGAATCAAAATATCAAAATTGTTAATTTTATATTCAATTTTATAGCTCAGAGAATCCTTTCTTAAAAAAAAAAACATATTTGCAAAAATGCACTCGTGCAGCTCTGAGAGTCTGTATTTTTAAAAACTTTATATTTTTTTTGTGTTTGTTTTCTCTTTCGAGACGAGCTTAATGATCTGAATATTTTTAAGTCTTATTAAAATACACTCTTGAAAAATATTTATTAAATTCCATGCTTACAGCTCTGGGAGTCCTTATAATAATATTTGTAAAAAATTCACCTTTTTGGCTCTGAGGTCTCCTCACAATTTTTAATAAAAATTCCACATTTCTAGCTCTGAGAGAGAGTCTTACATTTTAATTTTTATTTATCCCAGAGGCCCCCTTTAAAAATGCCCCAGATCCTCAAACACCCCTTCTCAGCAAATGAAAATATCATGCGCTGGGTCAGGACACATAAATATATCTAGAAAATGGAATTTTGTTTCTGGCTTGTTGCTAATAATGCTGTTTCTTTTCTGTCACTTTCTTGGCAACGAACAGTCTAACATTATGGCTATGGCACTACTTGACCTGGCCTCTTGCCATACGTGCTGTGCTAAGGACAATTAAAACAAAAAAAAACACAAGAACACGAAAATCGTATAAGAAAAAAATGCGAAAAAAAACAATCAATTGCCATACTAACTGTTATTTTATTTTAAACATCTTTAATTGCCGTTTCTTTATGGGGCAAGATTGCAGACAAAATGAATGAATTTCAAATAAAGGAAAAAATTCAGAATATTTTAGTTTAACAAAGTTTGTCACATGCAGTAGCTGTCTTATTGATATTCTCTGCATTTATATTTCAAATTATTTAATTATTTTTTCAATTAAAAGTTTTTTTGCGAAATATGTGACAAAATGAAAGAATTCAGCATTGCATCAAGCTGTTGGAAAAGTTTATGAGAGCAGCGAAATATCCTTTTTGTTGAGAATTTATTGTTACACTTGTTTGACAATTGAATTGAGCTGAGTTTTCTTAATCTTGTGAGAAGTTTCCTTTTTTTTTTCTTTCTTGTCATGAACGATTTATGTGGTGTTGGAATTTTTCTTCATTATTTATGAGCGAAAATTTTCAACTTTTGTTAGGAATTGGAGAAGATTTATCCGTATGTGAAAATGGATGTATGATTTATCGGAGAACAGTCGGAATTTACAAATCATACTCAAATGGTACTTTAAAATTATTTTTACTAATTGAATTGAGAAAATTAGACATAAACTAATCATTTTCAAGGACCAGATAAAAAAACCAGTAAGGAAAGTTCAAAAGTCGGGCGGGGCCGACTATATGATACCCTACACCACTATGCATATTTAGTAGAGCTCTCGTAAAAAGGTTTATACAGGGCATTTCAGAGCTCTATGAGATATTTGGTACAAAATCAAAATCTATCTAATTCTATCGTGCATTTTACGAACTATAGCTATCTCTGAACCGGGTTTCTCCAAATTTTACGTATTAGCTTCTAGACTGGTGATTTGGGCTGATATTGACCATTTAGTGCACATTTAACCCGAAATCGGATGAAGATATATATGAGAGCTATAACCAAATCTGAACCGATTTCGATAAAATTTAAAACAGCTATTCCTGTGCTCCATCTAATACCTGGTACCAAATATCACGGTTGTAGAGTGAATATTACGAATGTATGGGACTAAA